TTCCCTACATAATCTTTAGTGTGAGTTTTACATATTTGGTGGCCAAATGTAACATGCGCAATGATTCTTAGTGTTTAAATTTGCGTTTTTAATGACTAGCCTGGAATGCTACCCACTCCTTCATTCTGATGTTTCCACAGAATATTTTGTTAATTCCTATAGAAACTATCAGATCTCAGAGACAAGGGAGCCTTCACTGAGTCACTGGACAAGGCTGGGTCCCTGGTTTATGCTCTCATTGCGTACCCCCTCACCCCCATCTCCTTAACACTCACCATGCTGACAGTGATTTACACACATGCACACCTATGCATATCGAGTGGCCGTTCAGGTCACACATGTCTCTCTGGATTACACTGTTAGTCCTACACTGGCAGGGACAGTGGCAACATTGCTCGCCACTGCACAGCCCAGTCTACCATGCTGACTGGCTCTTGGTAATCCTCAGGTCTTAAAACGTATGACTGGAAAGAAAGCAATCTGACAGTATGTATCAAGATCTTTAAGATGTCCATAAGCACTAAGTGAAAAGGGGACTCAGATGATAGAGGGAAGTCTACTGATCACTATTTGTACAAATGTTACAAAAAACAAGTTCCTAGGCTCATCTGTGGTGGTGCATGGCACTAAAATGCTGCATCTCAAGAGGCTGAGGCACATGGGGCCTGCTCAATTCCCAGTCCCAGCAAACAGGCTACGTGTGGTGGCATGCTCGTAGTTCTCGTGAACTGGGAGATCACTACATAGCAAGACCCTGTCAAAAATCTCTCTCATTTAGGGACCAGCAGTTAGCGTAATGGCTATGTCGCTGGACTTCCACGTAGTCGACTGTAGTTTGAGTCCCGGACCCGGTGGCTTAAAACTCACTCCGGGCACGTGTGCGTGCGTGCTCAAGATCCCGAGAGAAGAATGGAGGAGAAGGGATTGCGGTGTGGCCATCCCCTCTGGGGGGTGATTTCTCGCTTCCTATCTCTCTCTCTGTCTCTGTCTGTCTGGCGAGCGCACGCGCCCTATAGCAAAAACCTCTCCAAAAAAAGAAAAAAAAAAGGAAAAAAAACTCTCTCTCATTTAAATAAGTTTCTATTTTAAATCACAATGCCCCAGATTTGCTACCACACTGATTGCAAAAGAGAGTAAACCAGTCCGATAAATTTCCCTTATCTTTGTTTAACCAGATAGTCAATAACTTTGCAAAAATGCCTGCAAATTTCCAAATGAACACAGAACACAAGCTGTAAAGCTTCGAGCTGTTTGACTACATAAAGTGGTGTACTGCACAGGCCTTGACTGGGCCCTCTACTCAGCAGGTCAGCATTTAAGCCTTGATCTGCAGGCTCCACTGCCAGTGGGACTGTCAAGTTCCATTTCTCCATACTTTCCCAAACATTCTTCTCTGGGTAAAAAGAGGCCCCAAAACTGAATGTGTACATAAATAAATTCTGGTCTGTATATACAGAGAATATCTTTGGAGGAATACATAAACATTGGTAACACTGCTTCTGTGTTTCCATGTATACCTTTATATATATATTACATATATCATTTTATTTATTTATTCACTTATTTTAATTTGACGAGAAAGAGAGAAGCAAGAAAGTTGGGAAGCAATGCCAGGACCAGGTCTGGGACTTGAACCACAGTTGGCCATGTGGGAGGCCAGTGCCTCAACCACCTCGCCCCCTCCCGGTCCCACATGTATACCTCTTGCACTTTTGAGATTTTGAACCATGTGACTGTGTCACTTACTCAAAAAATATTTAAAATGAAACTTTTCCCAGGGACTCGATCTTTCAACAGCTTTTACAGGCATACAGTGACATTAGACATTAGAATGTATTTTTAAAAATAAGTTCTAGCTTTAAAGAATTACAGGGTGGACACAGGGTATGAATGCAAATATTCTGCACATCAACTTGGCTGTAATTGCAATGCAATTTTATGAGGAGAAAAGTAAAGCTCAGATTGGCCGCAAGGCTAGCCTACCTCCACCAAGGGAGGCAGGGATGAAACACATTGTCCTAGATAGACTTCAGGTTCTTTGAGATCTTTTTGGTAGATGGCCTTTGGCTGAATGAACTCAATGCTCTTTGCTTCTTCCTGATTCTTTCCAGTGATATATGGGATGCCAAGACTATAGAGGGAAAACATCCCACTGGAGACTGAGAAGTATAAAACTTGGGAAAAATTAAGACTCCTCAAAGTTTACATTTCAGCTTCTGCTCTAGTTTCTGGACTTTATGAAAGGAAATTCTATGTGTCAATTGAGAAAGGGACTCCAAATTCTCTCGTCTGTCACCAAAGTTGTGAAAAGCCTAATAATGTAGGGGTGGTAGCATTTTGAAAATTAGGGATAGACAGGAACTAGTTTAACCTAATGAAGTTATCTACACTAAGATATCTCCAGCAAACATCATACTTGGCAGGGAAATGTTAGAATCACATTCTTTTAAAATCAAGAACAACAGGGAACCAGCAGTTAGCGTAATGCCTATGTCGCTGGACTCCCACGTAGTCGACCGCAGTTTGCGTCCCGGACCCGGTGGCTTAAAACTCATGCTGGGCGCGTGTGCGTGCGTGCCCAAGATCCTGAGAGGAGAATGGAGGAGAAGGGATTGCAGCGTGACCATCCCCCCGGGGGGGTGATTTCTCGCTTTCTGTCTCTCTGTCTCTTTCTGTCTGTCTGGCGAGCGCAAGCACCCTATAGCGAAAAAAACCTCTCCAAAAAAAAAAAAAAAAGAAAAGAAAAAATCAAGAACGACATGAAGGATCCAGCTACTAACGCTTCTATTCAACACTGACCAATACAGAAAAACAGGAAAAAAACCCCCATAAAAATTAGTATAAAGAAACAAAAAGAAATTTGTCATTATTTACAGATGATGGTTGTCTTCATAAACATCCAAAAGAATACACAGGCAAATCACTGGAATTAACAAAGGGTTTAGCAAGAGGGTTGAATATGAAATAAATGAGTGAAAAAATAATTGCATTTCTAGATCTTAGCCATCATCAGTTGGGAAATATATTAGAAAAAGGCAGTATTCTAACAGCTTCAAAAATAACACACCAGGGACCAGCAGTTAGCATAATGGCTATGTCGCTGGACTCCCATGTAGTCGACCGCGGTTCGAATCCCAGATCTGGTGGCTTAAACTCACGCCGGACGCGTGTGCGTGTGTGCCCCCAAGATCCCGAGAAGAGAATGGAGGAGAATGGAGGAGAAGGGATTGCAGCGTGGCCATCCCCCCTGGGGGGGGTGGTGATTTCTCACTTTCTGTCTCTGTCTCTCTCTGTCTTTCTGGTGAGCACACATGCCCTATAGCAAAAACCTCTCCAAAAAAAGTAATAAAAGATATATAATAATAAATAAAATTACACAACATTATTGAAAATCACTAAATATGACTAGATGAAAAACTATACCACATTCTTGAAAATTAATCCATAAATTCAGTGCCATTTCACTGAAACTCTTGTCATGGTTTAATATACTGCTCCTAAAAGTTTTAGAAGATCAAAGACCAAAGGACATCCATACTAAAATGAAAGAACAGGTGTGGGTGCACATTGCACTGGAAATGAAGATTTGCTGTAATAAAGTACCATAATCAAGATAGTTTGATACTGGCAGATGGCATGGTGGTTAAGGTGCTGAACTCCCACATGGCTGTCCATAGTTTGATTCCTAGACCTGGCAGCTTGCTTTCTCACTTTCCCTCTGTTTCTCTATCTGGCCAAATTAAAATAATTAATTTAATTAAACAAATCATTCTTTTTTTTAAAAAAAAGGTAATTTGATATTAAAGCTGAGATAAACAGCCCAGTGGAACAGAGAAGAGAACCAAGAAACAAATCCTGCATTTACAGGGGTATTTGACACCTGATTATGCAATAAACAGGTGCCAGGACAATTGGTAATACATAAGAATAAAATGAAAACAAACCTTTACCTTAAAACATATGAAACAATTTCTCAATGAATAAACATGCAAATCTAAATAAGTAAAACTTGAAAACTTTTGGGAGGAAACATCAGAATGTATGACTTTAGTATAAAGATTTCCCAAAGAAAACACACAGTACAAATCATACAGAAAAATATTTTTAAGGAATTATTTATTTTAATTAATTTATTTATTTTATTTTAATGACGGGGGGGGGGTGAGAGGCAAAGTGAAAAAGGAAGCTGCCAGGTCTGGGATTCGAACAGCAGTTAGTCATGTGGGAGTCCAGCATCTTAACCTTTATTCCAGCTGCTGGCCTCAAGGAAAATCTTGATAAATTCATCTTAAATAAAAAGTCTTGGGGCCAGCAGGTGGTGTGATGGTAAAAAAAAAATCTATATTTTACTCTCATTTTGAAGACTAAGCCATTGATAAGAGACAGTTAATTTTTATTATTTATTTATTTATTTATTTATTTGAGAGGTTTTTGCTATAGGGCATGTGTGCTCACCAGAAAGACAGAGAGACAGAAAGGGAGAAATCACCCCCTGGTGGGGGGGGGGGGACAGAAAGCAAAACATTACCCCTCGGGGAGATAGCCACGCCGCAATACCTTCTCTTCCATTCTCCTCTAGGGATCTTGGGCACGCACTCACAAGTGCCCGGCATGAGTTTAAGCCACTGGGTCTGGGACTCAAACTGTGGTCGACTACATGGGAGTCCAGCAAAGGAGCCATTACACCATCTTCTGGTCCCCACGGAACAATTTTTAAAGTAATCTCAGACGCTACCTTTTACATTACAGACAGAAAAAGAACCTACAGGAGAAAAGCCCTAACATTTTTATAAAAGTCTTTCTCATCTTCACACAAAGATCACAAAAAGCATCGGTTCTCATTTTCGTAAGACCAAGATATTATGTCAGATGGAAGATAAGGAAAATATTATCCAACTGAACATGAAAACTCAGTTTTAACACAGAAAGGTAAGCAAACACTTCAAGTACTCAGGAAACAGCTAAGCCATTATCTTGGCCACTGTTCAGATTTCGATACCTTAATCAGCTCTTTTTCTCTATGAAGGTCCTCATGAAGTTCTGGAAGAGGATCTTGACTTCGTGCCTTTAAAACTTGCAGCCTGCCTTTCAACTCCTTAATTTTCTTTTCACACTGGTCCCAGGTCTATGTGAAAAGAATATTAAAATTAGTAAGTACTTTGCTCTTAAGAATGAATTGCAGGAACAGAAAAAGCTCATTTAATCCAAATGATCTTTCTATAAAGTGTATTTAATTTTTTTTTTTTCTTTAAAGTCAGAGGGCATGTACCTTCACCAGAGAAAGCAATAAAGAGAGCACACGAGAAAGAAAGTACCACCCAATGGGGCTGGGAGATGCCGCAATCTTTTTTCCTTTATTTCTCCATCCCACCAGGATTTGGGGCATATACACACATGCACCCAGTGTGTTTTTCAAGCCTCGAGGGCTGGGACTAAAATTATAGCTGGCCATGTGGGATCTGGCTCCCTTGCATACTGTTTTAATTGCTGCACCACAGGGCCAGCCCTATTACGTGTGTTTTTGCCAGTCACACAGAAATCCTGTTTGGTATTGAGCAGACCACAGTCTAAAGAGCACAAGGGCCATTGGCTCGGCTCGATGCCTCTTGGCAGCTTTCGGCGAGGCTCATTTCAACTACTGGGCTGGCCTTTGCTTAGAAATCCCTCCCCACCCCCATTTCTTTCATCCACCTCATCTTATTTCTATTTAAAAGTTCACAACCAGAAGGCTTACAGCAAAGATAAACTTTTAGCTTTCCCAGCCTTGGGCACATGCTGTCATAGTACTGTAAGAAAGCGCACTCAACCACTTTTCTTGTCTTTTCTAATGTCACTCCTCTACTGGCTGATGTCCCTTTCTACAGCCTGGTTTTAGCAACCTTTTACACTCAGCCTTCGCTTTCTTTTTCTTTTCTTTTTTTAAAAATATAATTCTTTTATAATTTTATTTTATTTATTTATTCATTTATTTTAACTTGACCAGAGAGAGAGAGAGGGAAAGTGAGAAGGTAAGGCACCAGGTCTGGGACTTGAACCATGGTCAGCATTCCCCAACTGGGTGTGATCACGCTGCAAACCATTCTCCTCCATTTTTCCATCTCATCAGGATCTGGGGCATGTACACACGTGCTCCAGGTCTGTTTCTCAAGCAGCAGAGGCCAAAATTTGAACCTGTGGTTGTCTATGTGAGAGCTGGCTCCTTTAACCACTAGGCTATGGGACTGGCCCCAACCTTCACTGTCTTATTTTAATGACCATCGTTCACTTTCTATTTCTTAGCATTGCTCTGACTGCCATATTCTGCTTAGAGGACTTTTGTAATTCACAAAGCATTCCAATTCCATTAACTCTTTATAATAACTTTGGAAGACAGACAGGACACATCATCACATTTGAAATGGGCAAACTGGGACCAGCAGATGGCATAGTGGTTACGTTGCTGGACTCCCACATGGCTGACTATGGTCAAGTCCTGGTCCCAGTGGCTTGAAAATACCTCCAGGTTGGGCTGGCCAGTGGCATGGTAGTTAAAGGCACTGGATTCCCACACGGCCGACCCCAGTTTGAGTCCTGGACCTGGAGGCTTGTTTTTGCCCTTTCCCTTTTTCTTTCTGTCTCTCTCTGGTCAAATTTTAAAATAACCAATGCAATTAAATAAATAAATCATTTTAAAAAGAGAAAATAACTCTAGGTCTATGTGTGTGCATAAGTGCCCAAGATCTGAGAGAATGGAGGAGAAGAGATTATGGTGTGGCCATCCTCTCTGGAGGGTGATTTCTCACTTTCCCACTCACTGTTTCTGTCTTCCTCTCTCTGGTGAGTGTATGCACTCTAAGGCAAAAAACCTCTTAAAAACAAACAAACAAATAAAATGGGCAAGTTTTTGAGGTTACAAACCTAGTCAAGTGTTGACCATCTTTTCCTCTCACACTTTATGTTATTGAGCAAACAGGTGCCTGACTTTTCAAGTTTAGGGTATTTACATGTATTTGATTTGTTAGGATAAGCCTCTACTCCTGAGGTGACTAAAAGGAGACAAACACATAATGAAATGCTATTCCATTTCTCAGTACAACTGATAACTAGACACTTGCTCGGCCCAATTCCACGGTGAACCTTCCATACGTGGAGGCCACTTGTTCAGCAAGATCAACTACAGGAACACAACTAAGAAGAAAGCAAAGAGAGAAATAAAATTTACAGTCCTTATCTCTCCCACCAAGCCATTATTGGTACAAGAGTACTTCAAAAAAGTTTGTGGAAGGATGGAATTGAAGTTTCACTTCACTTCAGGAAAAAAAAAGTTTGAAATACACGCATCGTTTTTCATAATATGTGTTTCCTGTGTACTTCTTGAAAACCTCTCATGTTTACTGTTATGCTTTACAAACATGGCAGATGCTCAACAAATGTTTGCTAGACAATGATTTTCACATAGTCCATACACCAAATAAAATTTACATACACAGGAGAGATGCTCAGGCCTAACTCAGCACATACATATTTATTATTGTTATTATTATTATTATTATTATTATTAAATTTGCTATAGGACACATGTGCTCACCAGAGAGAGAAAGAGAGAAAGTGAGAAAGCAAGCCACCAGATCCAGGACTCGAATCATGGTCGGCTATGTGGGATTCCAGCACTTCAACCACCACACCACCACTGGCCCCATATTTATGCTTAATTCAGAAAAACATCTCTGACAAACTTGCTTATCTAGATTTGGTACACGCAATACATTAGAGAGGCGGCTACAGGAGAAGATGAGCTCAGAAAAACAAAAAGTAAAAATAGACAGTTTAACATGAAGAACAAAGAAAAAATCATAGAAACCACATTAGACCCCTCAGAGCATAGTAATGTAGGGAGGGGCAGAGGTTCAAAGCAGCTCAGAGTCCTTGAGAACAATCGAGAAGCCCAGCGTAACAAAAAATAATGATTTTCCTGATAATGACTCAAAAGGAAACATTTTGGGGGACCTGCAGATGGCTTAATGATCACATCGCTGGACTCTCACTTAGTCACAGTGTGAGTCCCACACCTGGCGACTTAAAACTCACACTGGATGCATGTGCATGCGTGCCCAAGATCCCAAGAGAAGAATGGAGAAGGGATTGCAGCATGGCCTTCCACCCAGGGAGTGATTTCTGGCTTTCTGTCTGTCTGTCTAGCAAGTGCACATGCCCTATAACAGAAATCTCTCTAAAAAACAACGAAACATTTTGGTTCTTATAGGTATACTCAAAGTATCAGGAAAATTCACCATGTGGAAAAGTGCATTCTCTGATGATAGTAGAGAAATGAAGTATCACTGTGTTTATTTTCACACATCGGATTAAATAGAAAGTCATGAAGCATTTTTCCATAGAAAATACATGACTTTCCTGACAACCTAGTATTATACCAAGGACAGATCACGTGTGGAACATTTGCTCCACGTATTGAGCTTCCACTGAACATGACAATCTCCTGTCTGATAAAGGTACATTTTTTTAAGTTTTTTTTTTTTCCCCGTAGGGTGCATATGCTAGCTAGAGAGAAAGGAAAAGTGAGAAATCACCCCCTAGAGGGGATAACCATGACACAATCCCCCTTCCCATTTTCATCTCAGGATGTTGGGCACACACACACACATGCCTGGCATGATTTTCAAGTTGCTGGGTCCAGGACTTGAACCATGGCCGGTCATGTGGGAATCCAACATCCTAATCATCAAACCACCTGCTGGCTCAAAAGTAAATTTCTTAATAGGATCTCAAGTATTTACACACCTAACATTGAGCTTTTTCAAGGTTAACTTAGTATTTTACGTTAAGTAACTAGCATGATGCAGGGATTAGTAAGACTCCAGTTGGAAAACTCACAAGACTGGGGTTTCCTAAGATCATTCCCAGTTTTACCGACAAAAAATCGCATGTTCTGAATTTGAATCTCATGAATGGAAAAGTAAAGGGTGAGTTTACCTCTGCAGAGCTCTGGAACTGCTTAATCATCTCTACTAGTTGGAGTTCTGTGTCCTTCCAGTTGTCCTGGAGTTGACCGATTCTCTTATTAATTGACTCTTTAGTTTCCGGGTTAGTTGTGCTCAGTAACTTCTCCCCTGCTTCCAAGGTTAATGTATAAGTAGTTTTCCATCTCTGAAAATGAATTTCTTTATTCTAAACAAAACAAAAAAATGATTTGTTTAAGTCTTTAATATGACCATAATATGTTTGAGTGTGTTTAGATTTTTTCTTAAATTAGATACAAATTAGACATATGGTCAGAATGTACACACACACACAAACACACACGCACACGCTCATGTCAAAAGCAGTTTTATGCTGAGAAGAGCACCTACCAAATGAGGTGTTGTTAAAATAACTTCCAAAGGTGAGTGATTAGAAGCATAGAGAAATGAAAAAACAAACATCGTAAAACTCTGCAAGATCAATGGATCAATCTAAGAAAATGATTAGCATATTAGACTTGGAATTAAGAGCAAAAGTCAGTTATCATGGTACAGATTATTCCTAACCTCCAAGAGCAGAATGTGCACATCACACTAAACAGAGGAGAGAAAAAACTAAAAAAACACAATACATAAAACCTGTATGTGAGCCTATAGGCATGTAAGCATGAAGATCAATATATACCCTAGCAGGACAGCCTAGCAAATTCCATCTGAGGAACCAGCACATGGAGTAATGGTTACATTGCTGGACTCCCATGTAATCGACTGCGGTTTGAGTCCCGGACCCAGTGGCTTAAAACTTATGCCGGCCACATGTGCATGCATGCCCGAGATCTTGAGAGGAGAATGGAGAAGAGATTGTGGCATGGCCATCACCCTGGGGAGAGATTTCTTGCTTTCTATCTCTGTCTCTAGAACATGAGCCCTATAGCAAAAATCTCTCTCTCAAAAAAAAAAAAAATTCATCTGAATACCAAGACTGAAACTAAGTAATACAATATAAAAATGAAATAAATATTTTAATTGATCCATACTTCCAAAAGCCTTTGGTTTTAGGGGAGAAAGGGAAATAGTTTTTGTTTATTCTGAATATGATTTTCTTCATCTTTGAATTTCTCAAAGGAGACATACATAATGTAGGCATTTTCCAAAATGGACACTGAGAACAGACTACTGACATACACAGGTGTTTCTGAGAAGACCTGAGATTCTCCAAATGCAGAGGAGGAAGGCAGAGCCCACCCTCAGGAGCAGCAGTGAACAAGAGGGACAGCAACTCGACCATCACGATAACTCCACTTGTCCTTCCAGCACACCATGCCGCTCAGCTTAGTCACTTAGAAACAGGACCTGCCACTCCACTCCTCTTCCCTGACTCGGCCGATAGCAAACCTAGTCACCCTAGATTCAGCTTTGGCTTTACCTACCATATCCAAACTGATAATGAGTCTTCTAAATATCCTTTTCTATCTCCACTGAGATCACCCTTGTCTTAGCCATCATGATGGCTCCCTAAGACTATTGAAGTTGCTTCCTAAATGATGACAGACCATATTTTTTGTAGAATGGCCACAACATTCCCAGTCCCAGGTGTGCTCTCAGAACTTTGCCGCTCCTCTGTGCCATCCTACTGGACCTGCGAGGGTGCGTTTAACGGCCTTGATCAACAACGTGTGGTGGAAGTGATGGATGTGACTTCTGAGGCTGGGTCGAACAGGCAATGAAACTTATTCTTGGACATAAGCCTTTGAAGCCATGAGTCACCACGTAAGTCCAGCTTCTGAGAGCCTCCATGTGGAGAGATCATCGGGAATGATGCCCAACGAGCCCCAGCTATCCCAGCTTCCTACTGAGTCCTTCCAGCCAGACGTGAGAGTGAGTGAGTTCCCAGATGACTCCAGCCCCAGCCGCTGTCTACGGAAGCTGACTAAGCAAGAACCTCCTAACAGGGCATGAACCCCTACCACCATGAGAGGGAAAAATGCCAGCAGTTACACAGCAGTAGACAGTGACAGGCCAGGAGTCCTACTTTTCCTTTAGCTTCCCCGCAATGTATTCTCCTCAGAGCAGCCAGAGTGGTTGTTAAAAAACACAAATTCTGTCTTACTGCCTTTCCCCCAAAGGCTTCCTATGCTACGCAGACTGTAGGCAGCTACCAGACCTCAGTCAACAACGCACTCTTCCCTTCCTGTCTCTCCAGTTCATTTCTCCACCGCGGTCATACTAACCTTTCTGTTCTGCTTTGCTGAGTTTGTTCCTGCCTTAGGGATTTTAGATAAAGCTGTTTCTTCTGTCTGAAAGGCTCTTTCCCCAGATCTTTGCATGGGTGGCTCCTTCTCATCATTTAGGTCCCAGCTGAATGTCGCATTCCTAGAGATCACTCAGTCTACAGCAGTCACCCAGGCCCTCCACTCCTGGCCCTGTTTCAATGATCTACATAAGCCTTCTTACATCTGATATTTTCTTGTTTACCTGTTCAATTTGTCTGAGCGCCCCCATAAGAACAGGGGTGTTCTTTCAGTCCAGCACTTAGGAGGGTGATTGGCCCAGAGCATATACTCAATCAAAACTGGATGACTAGATGAATGAATGCAGAAAACACAGGACTCCAGAGGATGTTGTTTGTTTAGCTGAATCTCCAGTGAAGAGTGGCCTGTAGCTCATGGAATATACCCAACTACCACGTCTACTCCTACGCTTACTGAACAGCTTTCTGATGGAAAACATTGCTGCCTGAATGAACTTCCCCTCCAAGGGTAAGCAGGACTGCCACTCTGAATTACTACACTGGTGGTCACTTACACATGAGTCAGGGTCTTAAGAGCTTGGGTGGGTGAGTCGACCTTAGCCTTCCCTCACCCTCCCCACTGGCCTTCACTCCATCTTTCCTCATGGCCAAAGCGAATGTCATCAATTCTAGACGGATGGCTAAGATCGGGTTTTGGATACCCTAAGGCTGGAGACCAGGCAATGGGACATGGTGACCACATCCGGCTGGCTTCTACTGCAGAGAGGGCATCGGGACCACAGCATCACAGAAAATAAAGTCCAAGGTGAACACACATCTTGCAAATATTGACATGCACCCTCCCGGCCCCGTGGCTCTCACAACACTGCTGGGCACACATTACCTTCAGCTCATGGGTCAGACTTCTGGTTTGGTGGAGGCTGTAGCAGTCCTGGCACCTCACTGCAGACAGCAGATGGCTGGTGTCAGTGAGGAAGTGAAGTAAGTCCTCCACGGAGGTAGTGAAATACTGCCATTGCCTCACCAACCCATCGACGTCACGCTTCCTTTGCCGAACACGCCGGGCAGCACCCTGCCACTGCTCCACCAGCTTCGAGAATTCCAAAACAAATTCCGGCCTGGGGAAAAGCAGATGGTTAGAGAATCTTGACATCAATTAGTTAAAAAAAAAAAAACAAAAAACCAACTATCAATGGTGACAGAAACTCAGATTTGTTACTAGCTTTAAAAAATTAATAAAAAAAAAAAAAAAAAAAAAAAAAAACTAACTATCAATGGTGACAGAAACTCAGATTTGTTACTTATAGGCACAATTTACATGGGAAAAAAGCTTCCTAAAACTTAAACATGATGGGGAGCTTTGGCAGCGGCAGTTTGTTGGTTGGCAAAAGGGGTTAGCAGACGATATTTGTACCTATATATAACCTGGTATTTTGTCAGCACCCATGATAAGTTTTCTTTTAAACTGAGGTTCTTTTAACATATATTATGCCAAATGTTGCATGGGAAACTAGAAATTGAATCAAAAGGAAACAGATGAACAAGTAGGAACTTCCTAATGCTATTGCTACTTAAGGATACATTTTACAACTTTAGCAACAAAGAAGATGTTTTCTGCAACAACTCGACTAGTTCTTTTACAGATAAAAACACGCTTCACATGATAAATAAGGCCTTTCATTTATTATGAGAAGTCTTGCTTTACCAACCATACTGACCAAATCAAAACTTGCTTAACATCCCAGAACTGGCTTGAACTTACTACTTCAAAACTAGGAAGAAAAGAGTTTTATATTTTAGTGTGCTGAAAGAAGAGTCAGGTCTCTGGGTCCCGATGGGGAGGGAAAGCAAGACATATCCGGACATTTAGGGAAGTATTTAGGCGGTCAGGCCACCTCGAGCCTGTGACTGTGCTGACACATGAGTAGGTTCAGTTATCATTAGCCCTGAATTAAAATGAAAAATGTAATTTAATCTTAATTTAAAATTAGGGGGCCCTGTCCGGAGACGTCAACCTCACGGTCAGAGAGAGAGATCCCTTCCTACACATCTATGACAAAGCTACCTGCTGGGAACAACAGCATTTCAAACATTATTTTTAAAATTATAATACACGATGCAGGGGAGGGATGAAAAGGGAAATACACCATGAAAGAATCACTAGGGGTAAAAACTTAGTTAACTAAACTTGGGAATAGGTATTCTCAGAAGCACTGGGACTGATAACCCCATCCACCTACCACAAAGAAATGTGCCGACAATGTTTTTATGGCCACAAAGCAAGATCCCATCCTGATACATAGTGACAGATGGCCCCATAGATCTATCAACTAATATGGATTCGGGGTATTGACGCGGTTGGGATTCGCAGGGCAGAAGGCCCGTCCTGACCTAGGGCATTAACCCCTCGGCCCACAACCTCCGCAAGCCCCAGCAGCTTACCTCTTCTCTAGTTCTGCTGTGTCCAGGAGGTGTAAGGACTGGGTAACATAAGCATCAGCAACTGTCTGGTTTACAGAAACTTCGGCTTCTAACATCTGTATATGAACCAAATAGAAAATATCACCTACTAGAATTCATTCTATGAAATTGGAACTTAACATTTCCTATTAAAATCTGAGCTTCAGAGGGTAAGTACGATGACTAATTTTTAAATTATTGGAGCCTACCTGCAAGAAATGCTCAACCATCACATCACCATCCGCTATGAGTTAACAGCCAACTGATCTAACTGTAACTACATCCAATGATTCTACTGGGCCTTGACTATTAGCTAGGCATTGTGTCAAAATAGGTTGTCTCATTTAATTCTGTGTTAGGACTCACAGACTTATTATATACATTTGGAGAGGCAGAAACCAAGGTAGAAAATGGTTCAGTAACAGGGCCAGCCACGTGGCTTGGTGGGTAATGATCCTGGATTTCACATGGCCAACTATGATGTTCAAGACCCCAATCCAGTGGCTTAAGAAACACGTTAGGCACATGTATGTGCCCAAAATCCTGGGAGGAGACTGAAGAAGGGATTGTGCTGTGGCTATCTACCCTGGTGGTGCTTCTCTCTCTCTCTGAATTAAAACGAACACATTGTTTATCAGCACAAACATGGGAAAAATCTCTCTGTGAAATGATTAATACTGCCATTATAATTACACCAAGTGCTTTAAGACCATAGAGACTTATCCAGTGAAAATGCAGAGTCGAAGCACATTAACACAGCCTTGGTAGAATGACAGAATGTGCATCCTGTGGCAGCAAAGCTGTGCTAGAAGCTTTCATGTGCAGCAGACATCTAGCAGTTCTGTCACTAATAAGAAAGAGCAGCAGAAAAAATGCTGAAATTTACACAGTGTGAGAGAACTTTACAACCGATCAACTGAGAATGGAATTTGCTGAGTCAGGGTCTTAAGAGCTTGGGTGAATGTAAAGACATACACTCTGCATTTCAAGAATGAGAGGTACTCCCCATATCTTGCTGAGATCTGTCTCTGACTCCTGCCCCAGGGTGAGTAGTTCAAGGGTGACAGAGAACAAAGGTTTACCTCATATGTTTTCTGCTGTTCCAGGAGAGCTGGGAGGTTGTCAGCATTATTCACTTGGAGCGTCTCTTCAATCTTCTCCAAAAGCTGGACCCACCTTTCACAGCAGTCAATAAACTTTTCGTTCAATCCGGTTCCCTGAAGCTCACTACAAAGGTTTAAAACAAACACACAGATCCACATAGCCATGATTTTCCAGGGCTGCGGCCATTCACTTTACCTGAATGCAAACAGTGGCAGAGATGGGTGCTCTGACCTGCAGCGCTCCAGTGCCGTCGCTGTGGCCCGGATCCACTGCCGGTTCACAGCTTGCAATGTCTTCACAGCCATGTCACTAAGTGGGAGCTTGAGGCTCACTTCATTCAGATGCTCAACATTAGGTGACAGGGCGGTCAGTGCCAGCACATGATTCTATGAAAAACAAATGCAAGTCCAGATATTTGGATGCCAATAAGATATCTAGATGATTTGAAAAAAAAAAAAAAAAAAGGCAAGCGCTCCTTATCTCAAAGATGCAGAAAAAGTGGGCCTGAACAGGTGAATGACTTTTGCACAGTAAAAGAGCTGGTTAGTGCTGGGCCTGGACAGAGATTTCTCAATGCTGTACCTTTTCTAGAACACCAATCTGCACATGGCCAGCACCTAAACAGGTGATCTCAGGTTTTATTTATATATATATAGATAT